GCTTCCATATTCACTTTATATATGCATGCTATAATTAAACACTAAAGGATGGATTGCCATGCGTTTATTGGTGAAATGCAGCATGCAGGGAAACACTAGACCTAAAAAATCTAGAGCACAGCGAGTGATTTTGTCATTTTTGAGTGTTTCTCCAACATCCCCAAGAGCGTTATTTCACCTATAAACGCACAGCAATCCATCCTTTATTGCTTTTATGATAGAGATACGTGTGGCCGACTTTCCAGATTTCGCAGACCAATGATCTGAATTACATTCTGGATTATATTGTGAGGGACTTGGACAGACTGCTATTGAAGGCGCTTTAAGCAGCCGTGCAGTTTACAAACATGAGTAGGTTAGATTTGTTAGTGTGTTAGTGCCCCCAAGGTTATGCGGTGGAAGAACAGACACTGAGGATGGTCGTACCTTAGTCCTCAGTGGTTCTTTGACGTCCACTACAGGGCCAGAGTTGAGTAGAGTAGACGGGACCTCCGATTTATCATCGTTATCGGAGAGGACGATATAGAAAGTGGTCATGCTCGCGAGTATRCATTTAATAGCAAAATATATTACGCTCTTGGGCCAATCAGAGCGTTGTACTATTACATCTATATTATAAAGATTTATATCAGCTGTTTATGACGTTGGAAATATTTATTGGACAATGAATAGACAGGAGAAGGATATTCCAAAAATATCAATATGAAAGATGTAGCTTAAGATTCCAATCTTCTGCTCCTTCAGAATTGTTGCTTGTCAAGATATTCCGACAATAGACAAACGAAGATGGACATTTTAAGAGGAAAGTTAATGAATTTTGTGAAAGATTTAAAAGMACTACCTGTTCTATATTTTGTAMAGCCATTTCAATGAATACAATACACTTGATACTGACAAAAGAATCAGTCTCGACTTGAAACCATTCTTGGTGATCATCCAAGCGAATTCTGGGAAGGTATATTCCTAAAAAACTTTCAGTCTTCCATTCTTACAAGTTTTTGATATATATGCTACTCTTTTTCATATTCTTAAACAAAAAAAACTAATGTTGACGTTTCCAAAATTACACAACTATTTAAATTAATTATAAGTTATACCATTACACTATCCAGTTATATATAGCTACCTGCAGGACAATTCACAAACTATAATGTAATTAAATCTTTGTAATTAAARAAATTAAATCCTTGAACTTCATAAACTTGAAACTTAAAACAATCTCTCGCTCAATACCTTTTGAAATGCGTCAGTAAGTAAATACACCCCTGAATTTTTTCCAAAATGAAAAAAAAAAACAAAACGAAAAACGAAAACAAAATGTGTGAAAGCATAAAAAATAGTTATTTACTGACATCTGTCTGTCCATGTAAACATTTGCGCTTGAACTTCTGTGCCCGCGTGAACAGCAGGCACACTMSAACATTTCTGACGTTTCATCTAAAATTGTTTAACTTCAACAATTTCCAGAGCGAAATGCTTACATTARGCATGKGACGTGTGAAGAGGTTTTTTATGACCCGTGATTTATATATATTCGTGAAACGATCTATTTCAAATACGCAACTTTGCGCGATCCGCAARTCAACCATTAAGAATACGCAAAAGCCCGAAAATGACCGATTCCGCTGAGGATCCAAAAACCCTCATTTTTGGTAGTTTGTGCAAGAAAGTTCCTTGATCCATGAAACCAGTCGTAAGGTTATATGTGATAGAAAAACTGTTATCTTGATATAGACCAAGAAGCAAATCAAATTCACAGACAAGTTTTGTTAACTTTGTAATATGCATTTCTTGTCACAGATGGTCAATTTCATAATAATGACGACGATAATATCTTTTTTCCAAAGAAAATGGCAATCGTTTATTAGAAGCAATTATCATTATACATACCTCATGAAATATCTGAAATATATCCGCAATATAACCATACTTCAGCAAAAGGAAACAATTTGACGATTTTGAGATTTCAGTTCTCAGTAACCAAAGAGTACGCTAAAGTCGACACCAAATGTCACCAACGATTTTTAATGACTTAAATGCTTGGCCCAAGCCAGTCAGGATTCGACAGCTTCAGTTTGCCAATTCACTCTCTAATCACTCGGAGACGCTACGTTTTGAGTTTTTCTTTCATTCGAAAACCTCAATATTGAACCAGAGAAGAGCGATGTTTGCTTTACTTTGATCAATTTTATTTTGCACCTGCACAACTATATTAGCAATTACTAAGATCCGATCCTAACCATGAATTCAAGTAAGTAATATTACTTAAATTGGTCAGTTGGAAAGTTGATGGTCGATGCTGAAATTAGTTGCAACCGCATCTTTCACCTTTCACCGTTTAACCGCTATATATTGTACCAAGATCCGACAGTCATCCATAGTGGATAGGATATTCCATGGTTTTACATCCCACTATTCGATTCAAGCGCGCGCAGTTAGTGAAAAACCATTACATCCTTGAAAAGAACAACCAAAAATCATAAGAATTTGCAAGAGAAATCCGTCCAACCAAGTTGGAGAAGATAATTCTCCTAAAACTGAATTCACCAAATTTTATAATTTTATATAGTGTGTGGTGAGGTTTATAGAAGAGACTGTCTCGTCTTTTTTATTGCTTTTTTTTATTTTGAAGGACTGTATCTGGAACCCCTTTTCATATTTCGATTTTTATCGCTCGCAAGTGTAATTATTATGTTTTACAATGTGTTAATGATCGCAAACTGAGTCATAAAGAAAATTAAAAACCATCTAATATTGAAAATATTATGCGTGGAATTTTTTCATTTTATATATATATAATCCCTGGATCACCACCTCGATAGGAAATTTGATCAGAATAGTCCCGTAGGTGATCAAGCCCGAAAATACATCTTGTAGCTTTCTGAAAAATACACACTTTCTAATTTATCACGCATCCTGTTTTTCTCTATTATAATAAACAATGCACAAAAACAGTAAAAAGTATCAATTTTACCTTACTTCAAGAACCGGAAGAAGTCTTTGTTCAACATATAAGGTTTTTTTTCTTTCGTTTGATTAAGCAGACGATTTTACTCATCGCAATAGGAGCCACTGAGAGGCCATTTGAACCCGACCAATCTGTTTTGCAGTCAGTAATGAATAAAGTATTCCAATAACAGCTATGCAGATGGGTAACATGTCAGCATTCCCTCATTTTCGTGTAATTTTGTTTGGTGATCTAGAAAAGAGAGTTGGCAATTGGTCCTTTGTGATACAAATATCGGTTCTTTAAAATTAATCAATATATATTTTTTGTTTTCTTTTTTTTTCTTCGTAGAGAAACAAATATATTTTTGTGCCGATTAAAGCTGAACAAACAAACTATAAAATATACCATGCATACGTCATTCACATATAAAAAACGGCGCCGTTTGAAATAAAACTAATAAACTTAATATACAAAAGAAAAGGACTGCTGGTACTATTAAAACTAGTGAGTAGCATTATTTATTCATCGGGAAGGGAATGTATGCGAATTCTAATAGTTTACCCATTCCATATCTGTACTAGCTCCTTCCTACCGATAAACATCGGCTGCTGGGAATAATACAGTGTTTCAACTTTTGACAAGTTTAAGTTTCGGGAAGTCAGCCGTCACGTCTTAAATCCACAAACCGATAAAAAAAAGTTTTAAATGCGACTTCGCTTTTAAGTTACAAATTCGGTTCTCTACATTAATGATTGATGATATAAATGGTAATTGAGCGAAGCTTATCAGCTTTAGTTAATTACAATAAGCTTTAGTTCCGCCGTCTCTTAGCCTGCAGAACAGTTTTTGAAAAAATATAGGCAATCATTTTTTACGTTTTTACTACAAACCTTACGCACCAAACGTATAATGAAATCATATTCTACGGCGGGAGACAAACGGTAAATTCTTTTCCAATAACTTATATTGATTCAAGTGAATAAATATTTGTGAATGTTAATCAGAGAAGGTCGCGCGCGCGCGTTTACCCTWTAATAAAAGCGCGCCAAAACACACGACTCGTCACACAACATTTGATCACGCACGTCACGTCACAAACCAATTAGTGTGAAAAAGAGTTAAAAATAATAACCAAAAATAATATTAAATAAAAAAACTTTCCCTGAAACCTTACTAAGATCATATTTTGATACAAGTATTCGTGAAAGCAATTTTTTCTGCTATATCATCTCGCACAATATCTCAAATTGAACAAGAAAACTAGTCATCAGCTTTTAATAATTTTATTAAGATAATATTAAATGTTGGCAAATGTTATAAATATCATGATTTCAATGTAAATTCAAAGTCTATCTCTCCTTGTGACGGTTCAAATTGAGTTGAGTAATAAAGTGAACCAACGCTGGATGTAACTTGTCGAGGTTGATAGAAGAAGTACACAGCCTGCTTTGTATGACGGACCCACTGAAGACTCTTCGTTGGCACACAATCGCCCTGTGAAACAACAAAACAGATTCATTTACTTTAAACAACCATTTGTCAACAAGGACACTCGACCTAACAACAATAATAACCAAAAACACTCTAAACACAACTCACCAACACATACATTCACGTTTTACACCAACAATCAATATTTATCTTCAACAAAACTTAGATTTTAAACTAACATGCATTCATTCTACAAAACAACAACAACAAACACGAAAACAATCAACACACTGACGATAGCACTTCTTAACTTAAAACAAATACTCACATTACTGCAAAACAAACACATCAAAATAAAAAACGGCTGAAGAAAGAACAGCCGGTGGATCCAACATAAAATGGAGCGCTGCTCGCGCAGGTTTAAATTTACCAATTGGAAAACTAATAAGCTTGTTGCCTAGTCTACCGCATACGAGACTGTCTTCTTATTTGCTCATTAGAAATGGAAATCCGCGGCCTCTGCGCCCTCTCATAAGTCCGCTCCTACGCCAAACAAAACAAAACAAAACACGAAATGAAACATTTCTTACCTTTAGTCCATTTGAAAGTATTAGTTCTTTGGTTAAGTGGAAATCCATCGGCCATAACACCACAGCATGCAGGCTTCCACTCCTAAGAAACAAAACCTTATCTAACACAAAAGTTTTATCACCTAACTAGACTATCAAGTACTTATTCTTAATTTGGTAAATAAGGGATACGTAAAGCCGTTGAAAGTACATGTACGCTCTTTATAAGAAAGCGCTTCTCGCTATTGAAGAGTTTGTAGGTTAGGTTTACGTTTACCAAATCATAACAAAATTTTTGGGGGCAGTAAATAATGTAATGTGTGAATTATTTACTTGTGCAATTTGTATATATTTTTTGCGTCATTGTTTGCAAATCTTATAAACACCGAATCCTCAAAGATCCCTGAATGCACTATCAACATTGAATGGCCTATGTATTTCAACCATGACTGGCCTTGATGTACAGCCGCAAAGGACGGACAAACAATATTTACAGCAATGATAGTGAATTAATCGTTATGCACATAGATTTACAACCAATAAAAAGCAATGTTAAATGATTTCTTACCCAGTCACTTCAACGCTGTTGTGTTKYTGGATCTTCYTCTCAGGAATCGGTTGSGTAAAGTCGAACTCCATCAAAGTGAAAACATCTGTAAGTGGTTSACAAGGATATTCCCACACGTGATGTGGTTCAAGCGCAACACAAGACAGCTTATCACGGTTGTCATTATCGAATTGTAACTTAGAATTCTGCCCAATAAAAAAAAAAACACATTTACATTTTTCTTCTCAGGAATCTCTATTACGTACGGAGAGGAAATATGCGAAAAATACAAATTACTGAAAGTGACCTCCAAGGTGTCCGTAATAGCGGACTGTAAAAGTGTATATTATTAAACTTATCGTTATTCTTAAAACAAAACAAAAAAATCAAAATCCACATTGCTGCGCTGAAAAAGTTCATGGAAGTTTAACTTAGTACACCGATGCAACTGAATGCTATTGAAAACCCGCGTACCGTATAAGAACAAGTGGATTAAGAACACCCAGGCCAGATTTTAGAAAATAAAGTACCATTTATATAAGAATACATTCAGCCTGAATGTTCTATCAAAGATTAACACTAATTTTTAGCACACATTGATTTATCAATTTTTTTTTAATTCAAATAGTTACATCATTGTGTTGATTAATTAAAATTGTGTGAATTGATACTGATTTCATCTATTCTTGGGTTTCATGTGACGTCACAAAAATATATAATCTCTAATATCCATCCTATGATGATACAAACTATATATGTTATAACTATGGGTATAAAAAAGATATAAGAACAAAAATGAGTGTATACAACGTTTTGGTTCTCGATATATTAAAGATTGAATTGTGTCACGCAACGCTGTCACGGACCTATAAAAAAAACAATTACAATTCGATGTGAATGAAATATTTTGCCTCATATATACACACATTGTAATGAGTGCAAAAATGTTATAAAAAATGTTACATGTCTCTCCGGCTGTGCTCTACAATCCTAAATTTTTGTCAAACGATGTAGTATGCTCTAAAAGGACATGAATGTCATGTATGCGAGTAAAATAAAAATTGTGATGACGTACATGCCCGTAACCAGAGGGGGTGCACTGGGTGCACGTGCACCCTCCCAGAGAAGCTGAAGGTCCGCTCATCTATCTCCATATTTTTTTTAAAAAATGACATGAATCTTTATTTTAGATTTATTTTGTCGATTTTATCCACGATTCGGCCGGATATGTTTTAAAATCGAACGAGTCCATAAGGAAATCAACATAACATAATCGCAAACACTAATTATATTAATAAGTGCTATAAGTTGTAATACGCTGTTGTGTATTTCATGGGAGTTGAAAATAAAAACACTCCGACTTTATGTACTGAAAGTTCTACTTATAATAAAGGCCAATATTGGTCGGGTTTTATGGGATATGCACCCGCCCGGTAGAAGTTCTGGTTACGGCCCTGACGTAACTGCAACCCAAGAATTGGTAGCCAAAGAAAAAATAGAGCGGATTGCCGGATTCTTAAAACGTACCGGATCACGGATTTATTGAAAATTTAACGCCGTCGGATTTCGGATTCTATAATGTCGATAATCGTGACTGCGAATTTTGCCGATTGTTTACTACAAAAAAATAACATAAGAAGTCGCTAAGAAGGCCTTATAAACGGGCGAAACGGGACTACAGGCTCTGCGCTGTGAAGAAACGTCTTCTCTGAGCTTATTATGGCAAATATGGCATCAGCGGGTCTTGAATTAGCAAGAATTTATGATTTTTACTCATGCCCAGGGCCTTGGCCGGGTCACGAGTCATAAAATGCAACGCGTATAGTTTTTTTTTCCAAGTCAGAAGTTTGCCTTCGGGTCTCCCTATCGCCCACCGATCTATCACGAAATATCACATTACGAACTCGGCTATAAACAATCGTGTAATAGAACAGTTAACTGCCAGGGAGCAGGGGGGGCAGGGGGGGGGGCAGGTGAAATTTTTAATTTCCAAAAAAAATTTCAACACCCTGTCCACATCTAACGGGAAAATTAGCAACCCCCCAAGCAAAAATAAAAAATGTTCCCCCCCCCCCCCCAAAAAAAAAAGTCCAAGGAGAGTGCA